TTGTTGCTTCGTATAACATGCTTCTATGTTGTTTGGAATTGTATGAAGGATGTGAATTATGCTAGAAATGATCTAAGATAGCTTAGGATGCTCCCTGAGTCTCACCTTTGACATAGACGTTAGGTGGCATGATCCTTTTGAATTGTTTCAAGTTAATGTAAAAATCTTTAAAGAAATCGAGTCTATGCATGTTCATTCTCTACGAGTAAACTTGTTTACTCACCCCGAAGTTAATGGGGGTTTCGATCAGGTACGAAGACTTGGTTCGTGATGTTCATCATTGCTTGGATAATTGTAGATTTGAAGGTTTTAGTTCTTGTAAGGGTTGGCTTGAAATGCCACTTGTAGCATTATTTGTCAAAACTTGTATCTTTGATTCTATAAATATAATGTGTACATAAGTACACCTTTGATATTGTATTTGACGTGTATGAGATGAGACCGGAGGCCAATGACATGTATTTTTTTTTTTCCAATGTAATTTTCGACTTCATGAAATATTATGAAAATATTGAAAATTGTTAAGTTAATGTTTCGCCATGGGTGCATCGGGTGTGGGAATTCCATTTTCATTCTTTCATAGGGTCACATTAATCATGCATGAAGTATAGCCAAGGGCCAAACGGTAAATTGAAACCATTTTATGATTTTAAGTTTCAAAATTTTCATTTTAAGTTCATTTTCACCTTTTTGGCCGTTGGGGGGTCGGATTTTGCATCGACGGTATTTTTAAGTCATGGATTATTGTAGCGCATCCTAATAGGTATGTTACGTCTATGTGTATGGTCGTTTCTGTGAAAAAACCTTTCATTGGTGAAATGAGCCTTCTATGGACTCATTTCACATTTTTGTTGAAAATTTTGGCTTAAGAGCATTTTAGGGATTTCCTTTGGGAAATAATTTCTGGTCTTGACTTTGTCACATAGAAAATGTGATTTTAGGGGGAGTTTCTTCACGACATTTTTCCAAAAAATGTCATCTTGACTTCAAAAACCGCGTTCCAAACTCATTTTTCTGCATTTTTACTATTTTTACAACATTTTTTGGGTTCTGCCCAAGTTGAACCGGTTCATGAATGTTGAACCAGTTCAAGAATGCTAAACCGGTTCAAGTCCTCCAGAGTTTTCAGTTTTGGACTTCCGACTTCAATCTGACGTAACTTCTTCGTTTTAACTCCAAATTGGTCTGTTCTTGAGTCTAAATTGACCGCGTCGAAATAAGCTTTCCAATGGTACCAAATTCAGCTTCATATTTTTTTCTTAGCTCAAGATATCCTCATTTTAGTGAGAGGGTGTCGGATTTGGTTCGAATCGGGATAGGGTTCATTCGGGATTTCTCTTCCTTTGGCCTTAGGACTTCATGTGAAGTTACCAAAGGATGTTTTTAGATGTTTTTGATCTCATCTGACTTGTTGGAAGTCAAATTCCTTCCTCTTAGGGTAAAATGATCATTTTACCCTTGGTCCTTCTTTTGGTAGGGTTTTGATACCCTTATCTTTGTTTTTCTTCCGTTGAGCCTCGAAACTCTTTGAAAGTCCATTCTTGTGTCCTAGGGATAACGTACATCTCTTTAGACTTGTTTTCGTTTTGGTTCCGCATTCTGGATCTGCTTCGGGTCATCACAAGACACACTAGGTTAAAAAAATTCAAGGTCGTCACAGGTAGTATCAGAGCTCATAGGTTCGAAAACCTTAGGACGACGGGTTTTGGGTGCATATCATGCTTGTGTTGCCATGGTATATGTGTTTATATGCTTCATGATAACATATTTTGGTTTGATAACATGTTTATGTGCTTACGTGCTATATGTGGTATGCTATTTGTTTAGCCTATTTTGATTTTATGGTAAAGAGTATGACATATGATGTATACTAGATTTGATTTGTATATGCATGATTGTTTTGCATATTTGACTGGACTTGGGATTAGTCACAGGATGTTTGAGTCAAGGTTAAGTTGCTTGGTGAGTTGGCACTTAGTGCGATGGTTGGTGTGTTTAGTTTTGTTTAGGTACTCTTCTTTGAGGTTGTTGGTGATTGTCCACATAGTTTTGTGGTAGTTTAGGTCATTGTTGGCCTAACGTTGGCTTGGGATAGGTGGAAAGTCACCTTTTGTTTGGGCTCTTGTGAGTTGAGTCGTTAAGCGTAGCCTTAGAGATTTTGGATCGATTGTGGATTTGTTGGTTTTAGGCCATGATGAGGTTATAGACCTCTTAGGATCCTTGGTTGTTCGGGATTGTTCCTCTGAGATTGCAATTTCGTGGGTAGGTACGTTGGTGGACAGGTGCATGGCACTGTCATGTTACCATACTGGCTAGCTACGAGCGCAGTTTGGATGGAATCAGCGTTGGTTTTTGTTCCGATAGGCGTAGTCCTTTTGGTTGGCGATGATGTGAGTTTTGTTTTGAGTGTCTAGTGTTGAGACGGTAATTGATGGTCATTTTGGGGATGATTTAGGAGATCGATTTGATTGTTTGATTTTATGGCTAGAGTAACCATTTTGTTTGAGTTATCCTTGCGTGATGATGCTTTTGGGATCAAGTCAATTGATTGATGTCTTAGGTAGAGAGAGCATTGCACTGTTAGTGTCACTTGTAGTGTCACCTCTAGATTCGGAGATGGATTGTTAGAGTCTTACTATTGTGGTAAGGGCTCATGTTTGTTTTGAGATAGGTTGTTGTCGCAGTGGTTTTTGGAGTCAGTTTATGGCTAGGACTGGCCTTTCCTTTTACCTGGACACTCTTGGACATGATGTCTATAGAGTTCATTATTGCATTATTTTTGTTTTCTGCAGTTTCATTTATTACCATGTTAGTAGTATGATGTAGGATATTATGATGCATGAGTAGGTGGAGGTGTGTCCACATTTGCTTTCTTGTTGTGTGGCATTAGCATGCCTTCTTTATATGCTTAGAGATGCTATGTTGGTACTGTACTTTAGTGACATGATTTTGTGCTTACGTGGAGACGTGCTGCATATACCCTTGATTTCATCTATGTGAGTAGATTCGCCTTCATAGTTGTTGCATTTCCTTATTATTTGCATGACTTCCATGTTAGTTATCCCTTTTTGTTCCCTTTTCGTATTTGTCATGTTGACACTTGTGGGAGAATAGGGTTTTCTCCTTCTTTCTTGGTTCGAGTAAGGGATTTCACAAGGAGTGAGTCTCTTCTCTTCATTACATTGTGCACAATCTTGGCGTTGGTTGGTCCGTGAGGATCACCATTGTTGTCTTGAGTCCTTGGTAAGGATTTAGTTGATTTTGGTCGACTTACTTCCATGTAGGGGGTGAACCTTGTTGTCTTTTGTTTCAAAGACAGAGTCGTGATGTTGTCCTTAGAACTGGTGGTTCCCTTTCTTTCGTGTCTTCCCTTGGGGAGTTTTACCGTGGTTGTTGTCGGGTTGTGGTGCTCAGAGTGAGTGGATTGGTGTGAGATCATTTACGGGGACTTGTGTCCATATCATTGAGGATTTGTTTGATTCGTGAGGTGAGCTCGAGGCTCTTTTGAGGATGTATTTTGGAGACTTGCTTTGGTTTTGAAGACCTAGAAGTGGTTGACTCTTAGGAGAGTTTTTGGAGGATTGCTGTTGGATATGGCTTGTTTGTGGAGTTTTCTCGTCTTAGTTATAACTAGGCGTGGTTTTGAGGAATCGTAGTTCTAGTAGTTGTTTATAGATCGATGAAAATTGAGGAATTTTGATTTAGCTTGGTGTTGCCAAGCACGGTTTCGAGAGATTCATTTTGTGACCTTGATAGTCGGGATTTTGATGTGTGTGCCACACGATGGACTTGTTTTTCGAGGATTTAGTTATCTGTGATAGGGATTTTGATCCGATGTTTGATTACAATGAGTAGTCTAGTAGTTGATCTATTTCAGGATGATATCTATGATTTTGGAGACGCTGTTTTGCTTATCAGGCTTGGGATTCATGATCAAGGTCATTGATAATGGTGTTTTGCAATGTAGGAATACGTTGCTGGCTCTACTTGCACTGAGGATTTAAGGCCTTAAGCATAGCGATGCCTATAACATTGTTGTCAGAGTTTTGGGATTGGACAGAATGGTCCAGCCGGACATCTTTGGACCATATCTCAACTCTCACAAAATGTTGGTCTCTCCCCAATTGGTCTTCATCAAATGCATGCATGGAACAGAGCTGAAATTAAAAAATGGATTCCCTCCATCTTTGATGACCCTATTCTCAAGCTATTAAATCAAATAAAAAATGCAAAAAATCAAAATTTTTTTTTTTTTTTTTTTATGGAAATACTACAAAAATGCTATTGCAGTGAACCATAACCTTGTTAATCGAGTAGTATAGGTGCTGATCCTATTTGTCCTAGATGCGGTCGTGATGTGAATCCACCGTTCCATCTATTTCTCTTGTCCTACATCAATTGCTTTTTGGAAATTGTTTCCATTCCGCTTTGATTTTTATCTTTTCAACCTGATTTTATTTTTTTTAGTTATTACTCACATGTTTATTTTTTTTAGTTATTACTCACACGCATATGCTTCCATGAAAACACTCAAACCCTGACCTTTCTTTAAAAAATAGGCTGTCTGGTTATTGGTCACTTTGGAAATCAAGAAAATGCATTGGTTTTCAATAGGGAGGCGGTGGGATTATTGTCAAATTGCGAATCGAGCTGTCTCTCTATTTTGGGAATTTTAGCATGCAGTAATGTGGACGCTTCTTTTGCAGCGTCATCATCATTAGGTGGGGGTGGTGCGGTCTTTCATGAACCCTTGGGAAATATCATCAAGGTTTATTGTGTTTAACCCCTTCCTAGCTAAATATGCTACTGTAGCTGAGGCGGTTTGCCTTCAGAAACTATCCCTCACCCCCACCAAATGAAAAGAAAATATAGATGAAAACAACAATTATAAATTTTAAAAAAATAATAAAAATGAAAACAGAGAAGGAAAATGATATTAAAATTGCACTTTCTATTTATTTTTTTCTTCAAAAATTAAATGAAACTGACCTGAAAATTCATTCACTCCAAATTGTCTTAAAATTTACACTTGCACTCCACTCTTAAAGGGTGGTTGTTCCATTTCTTTCATTAAGAAAAACAAATGAAACGCAAGAATACTTTTTGTAGAGTTCAATGAACAAAACGAAACAAAAAACAAAGACTGCAAAGAATCCCCAAAAAATCACTATTATTGAAATATTTACAAAGAACAACAGTGAAAAATTGGCCTGGTTAGATGACTAGTACAAGCATTTGACCTTGCAATATATTCTGCTTCCCAACCTTTGTTTTCCTTCTTGTAAAAGGATTATCAGGATCAATCTTTTCTAGGTTCTGCGGCAGGTGAAAGAAAGGCAAGAAATTTCAGACAGTATTATGGTCAAGTGCCTTAAATCTTGATGGGATTAACACTAGAGCTTCTGAAATGGTCTCAAGACAGTAAAAGCTCTCAGACGATTATCCCCTCTTCTCTAAAATCTTCTTTGAAACATTTGTGACAGGAAAGAGGCTTATCTGATAAACGGGATAAAACCAGTGACCCAGTATAACATTTAGGAGCTGAATGTCTCTGTAAGAGGTGCTAATTCAGACATGGGTTGGTTGGTATCTTCCATGATAGAAGTCAGCATTTGGTGCCTCTTTAGCTCCTGGGCTTTCCTTCTGTTGGTTTCCAAAACGATAAGGAGGGCAGTTATGTCAGCAGGGCTAACTCCACCAACTCTGCTGGCCTGACCAACTGTTTGAGGCCTGACCTGGAAAAATAAAAAATAAATAAAGTGAGAATAAAACAGCTAAGTGGTCGATATCCATATCTTTGCAGTGTTATACTGCAAAACTAAGACATAAAGCACGTGTACAAGCGGACACCCAGTTCTTACTTGTATTAAAAAAAAAAAAAAAGGAGGATTCTAATATTTTACCAGTCCAAGAAGCACTTTTTAACCAAGAAACCTCATTGGGTGATATTAACACTACCTTCTCTCTCCTCTTTCTCTCTTTATCCGTATCCCCATATTCCATGTGAGTCAGTTGACTTCGATTAGACCAGACCAACCCAGAGAGGAAAACGCCCACGAGGGCACCACCAGATGTTGTAGATGAACCTACTAAAGACGAAGGTGAGTATATCATAGGCTCATAGCTAATGGCACCATGGGCTAGCCCATACACCCACTGCACGAGTGGAATACTATACTAATTAGTCGAGTACAAAGGCCAACCTGAGAGCGAGGGAAGCAAGCTAGGAATAGGCTGAGAGTTACGCTTCAAAGGCCAAGTCCTGGACGTCTCACAGAGCGACTCTCAACAAGGACATTGAGACTGAAAAAAAAAAAAAAAAAAAAAAAATTCTTTTTTGGCTTAATCCGCCTTAAATAAAGATCAAGGAGTACACTTGCACTCCAGCTATTTAAATCCAAGTTTGATTCTAATTAGATCCTTAGCGCAAGCACTAAGTAAGCAAGCTACTTTATGTAATGTAAAAACAATTTGCAAGGAGGAGGGCAATCAAAACAAAGGAGATTTTACTTAATCAGGTCCAACTGATCACCACGTCTGTTCCACAGGTCCTCACTCAATCATACAAAAGAATTAGCAAAAATGTTGTCAGTGCACCAGTGCATACTTATCCGTACTGGTGCATTATTAAAGTAATTCCAACGATTTTCTTTCATTTTTACAATAAGTAACACTTTTTAGTGCACAAGAATTGCTAAAAAAAATTGGTAACCTTTGCCTTGATTTGAATGCTCATTTAGCACAGAGAGTATGCCAAAACTTGTGAATGGACCTCGAAATATAGTATTAAAGTGAATTCCATAATTTTCTTTCACTTTTACAAGATGTGGCACTTTAGGCCTGTTTGGCAGCCACAGTTGCTTTGTGCTTTTACTTTGATTCGAAGCAGAAGTAATGTTTTTGCTTTTAGAGTGTGTTAAACACTATTTAGAAGCTTGTTTGGTAACGTAAATTTGTTACTATTCAAAATCATGAGATAGAGAGAGAGTGCAGACATCTGTATATCATATATATTGCTTAACCCTAAGCCTACATAGGCTTATATAAAGATACAAGACTAACCTAATAACACAAGGGCCCTACCAACTATATGTAATTACATAATGACCCAACATAAGTGTGTGTGTGTGTGTATATATATATATATATAAACATTCTAACACTCCCCCTCAAGCTAGAGAATATATATCAAATAATCCTAGCTTGGAACAGATAGTCCTTAACTAATTATGACCCAATGCTTTGGTAAACATATCAGCTAATTGATCTTCAAACTTCACGAATGGAGTAGAGATGCTCCCACGTAATATTTTTTCTCGAATAAAGTGACAATCAACTTCAATAGGCTTGGTCCTCTCATGAAACACAAGATTTGATGCAATGTGAACTGCTGCTTGATTATCACAGAACGGAGTAGGAGCTTTAACTGTCAACCCAAGTTCTTTTAGAAAATGCTGTATCCATGTCAACTCACTAGTGGTATGGGCCATTGCCCTGTACTCAGCTTCAGCACTAGATCGAGCTACCACCGTTTGCTTTTTACTTCTCCATGTAACAAGATTTCCTCCTACAAATGTGCAGTATCCTGTAGTAGATCTCTTATCTGAAGGAGAACCAGCCTAGTCAGCATCTGTAAAACCTTCCACCTTGAGATGATCATTTAATTTATATAGTAACCCAAAACTTGGAGCTTGCTTGAGATATCGAATAATTCGAAGAACAACAATCCAATGTGGCATTCTAAGAGCTCCTATGAACTGACTTACAACACTAACTGCATATGAAATATCAGGTTGAGTGATAGTGAGATAAATTAATTTCCCAACAAGGTGACAAAATCTGCCCGGGTCATTAAATAAATCACCCTCATCAGACACAAGTTTTGCATTTGAATCTATAGGAGCATCAACCGGACGACCACCCAACATACATGTTTCTTTTAATAAGCCTAACACATATTTTCGTTGAGATAAACTTATACCCTTCTTGGATCTAGCAACTTCAATACCCAAGAAATACCTAAGTTTTCCCAAGTCTCTAGTGTGGAATCGATGTTGCAGAAACAACTTCAACTTAGCAATGCCTTCAAAATCATCACCTGTTATCACAATATCATCTACATACACCACAAGAAAAATGAAGCCAGCTTTAGTGCGCTGGTTAAATACCGAATGATCGGTCTGACATCTGTTAAATCCAAATTTAATGCCGCCTCAGAGAATTTTCCAAATCAAGCCCGTGGAGATTGTTTCAATCCATACAGGGCTTTTTTAAGGCGACAAACAGTGTGACGATACTCCCCCTGAGCAACAAACCCAGGTGGTTGCTCCATATAAACATCTTCTGCTAAGTCACCATGCAAAAAGGCTTTTTTAACGTCTAACTGAAACAGAGGCCAATGTCGATTAGCAGCAAGAGAAATCAAAACACGAATAGAAGAAATCTTAGCAACAGGGGCAAACGTCTCATCATAGTCAACACCATAAGTCTGGGTATAACCTTTGGCAACAAGACGTGCTTTTAAACGCTCAACGGAGCCATCTGGAATATACTTCACAGTATATATACCCAACGACAACCAACAGGTTTAGCACCTGGAGGTAATAGAACAAGATCCCACGTGCCATTCTGATGCAAAGCATCCATTTCATCTTGCATTGCTTTCCTCCATCCCGAATCAGACAAAGCAGCTTGCACAGTCTTAGGAACAAATGTGGTAGGCAACTGAGATGAAAAACATGAGAAGAATGGCGATAAGGAATTATAAGAGACATAATGGGCAATGGGATGATTAGTGACACAAGATCGAGTACCTTTACGAAGTGCAATAGGCAAGGAATCAGACACAGCAGATGGTGTTGGATCCAAAGACTCTGAAGACGACTGAGGAGGCATGACAGCAGACAGCTTCGGTCTTCGAGTACACCTGTAACGGGGCAGTCGAAGGAGATTTAGGTTGAAGAGAAAGTGAGGGAAGAGGAACCTCAGGAAGAGGCGACTCAAGAGTGATATCAAGAAGTGAATCAGTATCTGAAAAATATGGGGTGGACTCACAAAAAGTTACATCAGCGCTAATAAAGTACCGTTGAGAAACAGGACTATAGCAGCGATAACCTTTATGAAAACTAGAGTATCCAAGAAATACACACTTTGTGGCACGTGGGTCTAGTTTATCAAAACCAGGACCAAGATTGTGGACATAACATACACATCCAAAAACTCTAGGAGTAAGAGAAAACAAGGGAGAATCAGGAAATAAAATAGAATGGGGAGATTTGCCATCTAATACAGAGGATGGCATACAGTTAATAAGATGACAGGCAGTAAGAACAGCATCACCCTAAAACGTTTAGGCATACGCATGTGAAACAAAAGAGCATAAGTAACTTCTAATAGGTGTCAATTCTTAAGTTCTGCAACTCCATTTTGTTGAGGAGTATAAACACATGAATTTTGATGAATAATTCCTTTATCACTCAGATATGTATTAAAGGGGGCTGAAGAATATTCCTTAGCATTATCAGAACGTAGAACATGAATTGGGCATCCAAACTGAGTTTTGATTTCTTTTCGAAATTTTGACAAATTAAAAATAACTCCGAACGATCTTTTATTAGAAATAACCAAGTTAGGCGAGAATAATCATCCACAAATGTCACAAAATAATGAAATTTATTGATTGAAGAATGCTTTATTGGACCCATACATCTAAATGAACCAAATGAAAAGGACTAGAGACACGATTATTAACCTTAAACATGAAAGACACGCGATGGTGCTTGCTAAGTTGACAAACTTCACATGACAAGGACTTCAAATGACTAAGACTAAAAACTTGACGCTGCAAAACTTGAAGTGAGGGGTGACCAAGACGACAGTGCCACTGGAATGGAGACAGAGAAGACTGAAGAGCCATATGATAAGGTGCAAAATCAAAGTAATATAAGCTACCAGCTTCATGCCCTGTTCCAATCTTCTTCTTCGTGTTGAGATCCTGAAACACACAAGTAGGATAAAATGTAACAGAGCACTGGAGAGATTTAGTAAACTTACTGATATAGACATTAAATTAAAGGGAAACTGAGGAATCACTAAGTTGAGTTGTCCCCAAACCTGAAACTTTAGTGGTTGAACCATTAGCAAGAGTAACACTTTGAGAAGGAGGTACATAATTAAAGTCAGATAGAATAGAAGAACATCCAGTCATATGTTTGGATGCTCCAGTGTCTATAATCTAAGGACTGCGAGTGGAAGACAATAGACATGTGGGTGCAATACCTGACTGGGCAAAGGTAGCCGTGGAAGACGAATTAGATGCTTGCTGATAAGACAAAAACTGAGTATACTCATCGCGTGGAACAGTGACCGTATCTGATTCAGCTACGTGGTGAGATCCAGAAGAAACATCATTCTTAGAGGAAACTTGATTTGCATAACTAGATGGTTTGCCATGAAGGTCCCATAAAAAATTCACAGTATGATTAGACAAGCCACAATGAGTACATTTTCGTGATTCCCTGCCACGGCCACGTCCTCCCCGTGAATCACAACCACCACGTGTGGAATGTCCCCCACGACTTTCACAGTAAGCAGTATGTTCACCCTTTGAAACTAGCAATGCTAAACGCTCACCACTCTGCCCATTATTCAAATTTGAGTTGCCACTTGCAAGTGTAGCGCGCTGAAGTCGAGAAAACACATCAGCAAGAGATGGAAGTTGGGACTGCCCATAATC